AAGAAAGAGGATAAAGAATCGAAGAAGAAAAGGGGAAAGAATCGAAGATGAACTTACCTCTTCAATCGCACCTTTGAATGAGAGAATCAATTAGCAGCACCTTTGAATGAGAGAATCAATCAGCAGCACCTTCGATTAAACCTTTCAATCGCACCTTCGAAGTGTTCTTCAGACTCTCTTGGGAGTATTTCTGGAAGGAGATGATCGAATAGACATGGAACCCTAGCAAGCACCTTCGAAGTTCTTCAGCCTTGGAGTATTTTGGAATGAGATATGGAAGGAGCTGAGATGATCGAATGAATAAAGAACCCTAATTTTATTTGTTTTGATGTTTTATTTATGTTTTATTTATTACAAAAGAACCCCAGATTTTTATAATTCTTTAAAATAGACATAAAAAATTGCTCCGGTACCCTTTAATTTATAAAAAATCTCGTTTTTTACCCCGGAGTACCCAAAACGTACCCATGGCGTACCCGTGGCGTACCCAGCCGTATACCAACCGTATAAAACGTACCCGGTACGCATGCAGCCGTACCGGTACGCGTACCCGCACCCGGGAAGTACCCGGTACTTGTACGGCAACATTTTTGGAGTACCCGTGCTTCATAGTCATTTCCTATTTTATGATTTTAGTGGTTAATTATTCGCATAAATTCATTTTTAGATCTAAAACCTTTAACTAACCTAGACTATGTGATTTGAAGAAAATAAATACCATCTATTTAAATTTAAAGAATAAAGCCACGTTCCTTATAAAATAATGATTTTTCATAAAATAAAATTTAAAATAAAAAAAGAAGATTTTTAACATAATGTGGCCGTAAACTTAATCTAAAATAAACAATATTCATAAAAACATACAAAACACACAATTTTGTATAGAAAAGCAATTAAATTGCATAATTGAAAAATAATACAAGAAACAAGCATATGCCAAGGAGGAAAAGAGGACTTACCCGATCGCCCACTTTCAGCGTCTTACATGCATGCATAAAGTAAATATTTCCTAATATGCAGCTAATACACACAATGATGGTCCTAGGCCCGGTTTGAGGCTACTAATCATGCATATGCACAAAGATACAACTAACAAATAAAAAAGCATAAATATAAACTAAACTACATGATAATCAAACCGAACCATGCATAATTATTATGTCTAAATAAGACCTAGCACATGTTGTCCTAATGACATAGAAGAAACATGCATAGAAAGAGGCGAGAAAGTTAATGAAATAAAAGAACTACATGATGGAATGATGAACTAACAACCTAGCATGGATAAGTATTGAAAAATAAAGTAAGAAAATACTGAAACCAGAGAAGTAAAAGAGTTTTGCATGCTGGTTTGATTAAACCAAAGAACACACCAAGAAATAGCAAGAAAAGTCAAGTTTCTTGCTTGCAAGCCTCCCTCAAGCTTAGGTTTCTGACGTAGTTCGGGTTCTTCACACCTTAGGATGATTTACAGAAGTTCAGAGCTGCTGTGAGTGGAGGAATTTCGTGGTCAAGGCCAAGGTAGAGGAGGATGGGAGTGTTTGGCTCTTAAAACTCTCTAAAATCTCAAGGGCTTTATTTATAGGCAATGGGGAAGGTTTTAGAACCCTTTCTACGGTTCCATCGCTTTCTCCCTCCACCTCCCACCAAAAATACACCAAGATTGAATTTTCATGCCTGGCTTTGCTGCGCTTGGATGCGCGCACGCACCATTCTTGTGCACACGCACCCTTTGCCATGGTACACGTGTTATCCTTGCATGTATTTCATGTTCTTGGCTTGCTTGTGGCCCAAGTAAGTCCGAATTGTCTTCTAATCAATGTTTTTGATAAAACCAGTCACTAATTTTGGAAAATACGTTTTGTCAAAGCACAATCGGACTCATCTCTCTTTCTTGGGGTTAAAAAGTTGTCTTTTTTGGCTAAAAGCAGGTTTACGTAGCAACTCCAAATGTCCTTAAACATTCTAAAGATGAAGTAATTTACCATTTCATCATCAGGAGGCTTGCAAGTGTCCGAAGTCTTATAATCAAAATGGGGTGTCTACATTGTGGTTTTGGATTTTTTATTGGTCAATAAATGTTTTACTGCTTCCAAATTGGAGTCTAAACCATATTTGTGTTTGGATTACCAAGAATGAGTATCGGTGAAATATATTTTTGAAGCCATGGGGGATCATTCAATGCAATTTTAACCCTAGGTGCGATGCCTGAAGCGATTCTCATAAATGAAAATTGTCCTCCTTCCCTTAGTCTCTGAAAGCAAAATTTTCTAATTCAATCACTGGTATCCACTAATTTCATCAATTTTTCAACCAAAAATACTTCTTTCATACTACACCATAAGCCTCATCTTTCATTGTCCTACACCGTAAGCCTCATCTTTCATAGCCCTAGTACTTTCCCTGCACAATAACTCTTCTTCTCTCTAACAATTAAAACCTTAAAGACAGCACTTCACAAAAGTCCTAGAACCATATTCCTAAACTCTCACACACCAAACACCTCCAAAACAATGCCAATATCTTTCCTTCAACCACTTAATCTAGGCACCGGTAGAACACCAAGACTTAAATGCGGTTGTTACTATTCACAGTTCCCAAAACTTTGCGCTTTTCTTTGCTTAATTATAACTAAAAACTGTTACTCTTTTTGTGCATCCAAACAAACTCACCAACCTACAGCCACAAACTTTGGAACAGTTCCCTAGGCTAGAAATTGGCTAAAAAGTGAAACATGCAAAATGACAAAATACCCTGAGGTGCCCTCCAAAAAGATCTACTTTTTGCCCATTATTTTATTTGCAAAACTACTCATTTTTAAAAATTGTTCTTTAGTACCTTGAAAGAGCTTTCCGTGCAAAAAAAATGAGCTTCAATCCGATTTCAAATAAAAGAGTTATGAGCATTTTATGAAAATGACTCATTGTCTACCTCTTGAGGGGGTAAAATGGCCAAAACTCAAAAAAGACTACATATTCCAAACAAACTCACCAACCTACAGCCACAAACTTTGGAACAGTTCCCTAGGCTAGAAATTGGCTAAAAAGTGAAACATGCAAAATGACAAAATACCCCGAGGTGCCCTCCAAAAAGATCTACTTTTTGCCCATTATTTTATTTGCAAAACTACTCATTTTTAAAAATGGTTCTTTAGTACCTTGAAAGAGCTTTCCGTGCAAAAAAAATGAGCTTCAATCCGATTTCAAATAAAAGAGTTATGAGCATTTTATAAAAATGACTCATTGTCTACCTCTTGAGGGGGTAAAATGGCCAAAACTCAAAAAAGACTACATATTTGATGTTGAAACCAGCTGGAGAAGAAAGTAAAATCTCCAAGCTTTTTGATATCTGGATGGCATAAATAGAGTTTGAATGTGCCCAAGATGCTTCCCTGAAATTAGACCTAAAAACGAACCAAAAGGGGCTAATTTTGTGCTGGGCTGACACTCTCAAAAGGTACCGAGCTGGCACACGGTGAGTGGTTTTTGAAACCTCATATCAACACAGTTCCTAAGCTTTCTCAACCGCTCAACCTTGCAAGTAGTTTTTGAAGAATGCCACAAATCTCTAGCAACAAAATTGGCAATGAGTCAATGACCATATAGAAGTCACAGAGAAGGCTAAGAGAAAAAACCTCGAGTTTATGTACATTGCTCAAATTTCTCAAACAAATTCTCCCTCAAATTCCCCCAGTCCTAATTGTAAGTCCATTTGTACTCATCACTTTGTCCCGATCCCTTCCACAAATAGTTTACCTGCTCCTATTCTTGAAATGGCTCTCCAACCAATCTAACCTTATTAACTAAAGAACAACACCCTCCACCCCTTCAAGATAGACCTACGGAAATTGCTGCCCTAAAACTAGCAAAAGATTATCTCTACTGAATTCAGGATTTGATACCCTAAATGATGACTTTTTATAAATTATCAAATCCCACAAAAATCCAAAAGCATTAGTCCATATGAAATAGAACAGAGAGATGTTTTGAAAGGAAAGAATAAATCCTTCAAATAGATTAATCTATTGGGGCTAGGAATCATTAGAGCTAGTTTCAGAAGTCACTCGAAGATCTCCAAACACAAGATAGTGCCTAGCCCCCTTTACGCATCCATCCACCCTGAAAATGAACAACCCCTGATGAAACACAGAACTTGCAACTGTGCCATTCCTTTTTGGATGATTAGGTGGTGCTTTGGGAAAATAATAACTATAGCAAATAGTAGAATTCAAAACAGAGACTGAACACATGCGACAACCAGCAATTAAACGAATTATGGATTTACTTAAGTTGCTAGTTCCTTATTTGAGAATGACACTTGCTCACTGAGGAGTAGAGAAATAGTTGCAAGAAACAACCCACATGGTTGCTTCCCTCCAATTTGTATTGTTTCTTCTGTGAACTGGACCTTAAATATGGGAAGATAGGAAGAAGAGGTCTGCAAAAATAAGGCAAGCAACAAAAAGGCATTGTCGCATATTTTAAAATTGAATGTCTATAATTTTAGATTATGAAGTACATTCAAATTCAATAATCACAAGTGTTACAACACTCATGGATTGCACTTTTTGCCATACAATTGTCATTTGGACCAATATGAAACATTTATGACAAAGAAAAGTTGAACCCAATTGTACTGGCCAGAGAATGAACAATAACCTGCTAATGGCATTCACTCCATTACCATTCAATTTAAGACCCAAAAATATGGGAAATAAATTTCGACTTCCTTTAGATAAGTTTTAAAGGTAGTCTTTCCACTAGCAGTGATCAATAAAGCTAAATTCTCGTCCACTTCATCCATCTTAACATCATTTCAACATATTAACTCACTAGTCCTAATCACATTTTAACATTTTTCAACATGTATCTACATTAGCAGCACAAGAATTATCACAATTCAAAACAAATCATAAAGACTATAATGTAATCCATAATAATTAAGAGAAAAAAAAAAAAACATATAAGAGTACAATGCAAGGGACAAAGATCACCGCTTACAAGAACGGCAATCAATTTGGCTTACGGACTCCAGACTGCCTGTATATTCTCTCCTCCTCTTTGCATTGAGTCTGAATCTCTCTTCTACTACCCCAGTTTCACCATGTGCTGAATTCAAATCATACAATATCAAAATTCAAAACTACTCGCCAAACAACATCAAATTCAAATCCAAAAATTCAAATTCACCACAATGCACCAACGCAGATCAATTAAGTGATATCGAATAGAGAGAGACCTGGGATGACCGACAACGAGCAAGAGGCGATCGGTGAGTTTGAAATAGATGATCCGCTCGGAAGAAGGACAAGGACCAGATTCGAGAGGTATGACCTCTGGCCATCCATATGCCATATGTATCTTCGATTTGGGCGTATATGTATGGGGAGAGGGAGATCGGAGAGAGGTTCAAACGAAGAGGGAGTCCCATTGCACGCAGGAAACCCTGATAAAACACAATTTCTTTCGTCAAATTACACTTTGGCCATTTATTTTTCGGTAAATTACAATAAGCCTCTTTAGCTATGAATCATTTTCATTTTATCTTTTTGAATTTTAAATCTCAACAATTGACTACTTCAAACTTAAGGATGGTCACAAGGCGAGTTTATAGTAATCTACCCGCATCTTATAACATATTTGGGATGAGGGGGGTGATGGGAACGAGATGGAGACGAGTTAATTTTGTAAGTTGAAGAATGAGAATATTAATAAAAATTATAGATAATATAGTATATTATGAATAATAATTTATGTTTAATAAAAATTATAAGATAGCAAATAAATGAGTAAAAATTAATATTAAAAATAATATTTTAGTATTTTAATTTTATTATACTGAAATAAAATAATTTATTCTAAAATAATTATAATATTTATTTAATTTATTTATATTTTACTATAAAATAATTTATATTTTATTAAACTATATATTATATACATATAAATAAATTTAATAAATATAATCGGGACAGGTTTCAAGTAAAACGAAACGGGGAAGCAAATCTCATTCTCGCCCTACTTCTTAATCAGGGCAGGAAAAACTATATAGGACGTAGGATGGAGAAAAATGATCATCCTTACTCAAACTATTATCTTGTTATTGTTAACTTTTTATGTTAGGATTCTGTTAGTGATTTATTGATTTTTAAGGGCAATAATACCCTCATTTGGTAATTTTGTTTGCACCTTGCCATTAAAATAAGAAAGACAAAGGGTAAAATGAGATCATCAAATAAGAGTATTATTATCCTAAAAAAATTAATAACATAGATTATTGTTCTTAAAAAATTGTGTCTTGTGCTTCATAAATGACCTAATTCCATTTAAATTTGTAACAAAATCTTAACAAAGTGTTAAGTGTAATAAGATAATATTTCAAAGTAATTAATGGTTAAATTTTAAAATTTAGAAAGATAAAGTGCAAATGGATCATTATTTAAAGGGATTTATCATAATTTACCCTTTATTAAGGTAAATTACACTACTAGTCCCTTTAATTTATTAGAGAAATTATTCAAGCTGAGATTATTGGAGAGGGCAACCTGTATAATTAAAATATGCAATCCCGCTACATCCCCTAACTAAGGCTTCCAATTCCACCTCCAATAACGTTGGTAAGACCCACGTAAAGCAGCTTTACACTATTCTCTCTCATCTTTAGCCTCCCTAATTTCACGTCATTGGGGTGAAATTTGGTGGATTAAATTAAGGGAATGAATCATTTTTCTAAAACGTGTAATTGTAAACTTATTTTTTTTATGGATGGCTAGCTGAAATAATTAGGGGCCTCTATCTTTGTACAAGAGATATAGTGAATGGATTTTGCACCTTTTGGACAAGACTCTTGAAGCTAAATAGCCTACTATAAGTGTTCAAATAGATTGGATATGGCCTAAAAGAAAGCCTAGAATATTATACAATATATATAACCAGTACTCCAAATTCCTTGATGCTAGATTGGGCATAAATAAACTGGACTTTTAATGTTAGTGGCTCATGCTCTGCTAGTTCGACTTGGCAACTCATTAGAAATATTGTTGTTCCTTGGAAGCCGGCAAGGCAACCAAATACAAGCTACAAAAGATACAAGGGCAATTATTAAATGATGAATTCCATCTGTGCTTTGAGTGTAATTTTTTCAACTTGTATTTGGAAGTGTATTTTAAGCAACAATCAAATTAGTAGACCACTCTCATTTGCCCTAACCTAAAGAGTCATTCCTCTAAAGTTTTCTCATAGGTGTGTGTTGTTAAAATTCCAAGATTGTATATATATATATATGTACTCTTAAAATAAGGGCTTACAAACAAACCCAATCAAATGATATGGAAAACTTCTCAAAATTTCTACCATGTTTCAGATTGTTCTAGGATTTTCTAAAGCCTTTCAAAATTCTCTGAACTTTATAAAGTCTTCTAGATTATCCTAACTTTCTAAAGTCTTCTAGAACTTTCAAAATTTAGACTATGGTTCAGAGTCTTCTAGGGTGTTCTAAAGCCTTTCAAAATTCTTTAGAAGTGTTTTAGATTCTTCTAGATTCATCAAATACAAAAAATAAAAATTCAATACATTTTTGTATTTTATTGTATTCAATAATTTTTTTTAATTTTTGTACAAATTTTATACTTTTTAAGTATATCGAGACTAAGTGGATCTAAAAAGTAAAAAATAATAATAATTAAAATATTTAAAAAATTACTAAAAATGTAAAAATATGAATTAAAATTTCAAAAAACTACTTTTAAAAACTCCAAACCAAACAGATTAAGGAAATTACACTCATTAAAATTTTGAAGAAAAAACAAGGAATTTTTATTAATAAATCCATTTTAGAGTTGAATTAGAATCATGATCAAAAGCGTGAATACAACAAACTACCAAAACATAATGAACAAAAAAAAAAGAGAGGAAAGTCTATATCTATTATGTAATTAGTTTTTACCATTATTCCTAAAAAACAAGTTTAAGCCTAATGATTCTTTGTTGTGGAAAATTAACAAAAGAATTATTAGATATAACCAACATAACAAATGAAGTTTTCTCACATATATGTTTTGTCAAAATTCCAAGCTTGTATTATATACATCCTCTACGATAAGGGCTTACAAACAAATCCAATTAAGTAACATACTTCATCACATAAGCTTAGAAAATAAAATAAAATGGCAGTGGTGTATGAATAAATAATAATTAAAGCAATAAAAAGGAACAGGTAGGCAAAATTAAAGAGGACAATAAGCTTGCTTACATCACCAAACTATCATAGAAATAAGTTGCATACTTAGAGACTAAGATTAGCACGAGATGGAAGAGATTTTCAAGAGAAATACTCCACTCTTTTAGGGATGGCTACCTTTGGTAACTCTAAGATTCATGCAGTGAATGTGAAGAGATTCCAAATTAAGCGGTCCGGGGACCATCTCCTCTTTCTCAGACAAGGACTCCTACTTTTTCTCAGTTATAAATGTTGGCCTAAGTTCTACCACTGAAAACCAAAACAAACAAAACTTGTCGCCGCCTAGATGAGAAAAGCTCGGAGAAGGAGAAGGACCAATATTATCAGGTATGTAAGACTGTCCATAGTCATGGAGATTGAACTTGCTCATGAACCGCATGTTTGTCACCAAATCATACCCAATTAGGCTTTGATTGTACGGAGCTAAATATCAATAGCCAATTAGGCGTTGATTGTACAGTTTCATATAATCAACACTTAATGAGTATGATTTAGTGACAAAGAAGTGGTTCATGGGTAAGTTCAATCTCCATGACTATTGAAAGTTGTACATGGCTTATGATACTGGTACTCCTTCGACCTTGGCTCATCTAGGTGGTGACAAGTTCTGCTTGTTTTGGTTTTCAGTGGTGGAGTATCATCCTAGGCCAGAGCCAATAGGGGTGTAAATCTGGCCCGGGCCAACCCCGCCTGACCTACTCTGGTCTCACAGGCTTTTGCCAAAATTCGGGCTGGCCCGGGCCAACCCCGCCTGACCTACTCTGGTCTCACAGGCTTTTGCCAAAATTCGGGCTGGGTCAAGCACACCCACGAGCCAAAAAATTAGGCCCAAGCCCAACCCTAGGCCTAGGGATATTCGGGCCTTGGGCAGTGGGCCAGGCATCGGGCTAACCCAGTTGGCCTGGGTCTAGCCTTGGGCTTGGGCTGAGCTTGGGCGGGCCTGACAATTTTTTTTTTGTTTTTTTAAATTTTTTCTACCAAATTTTTTTTATTTTCCACTAAAAAAAGACGCTGGGCCTCGGGTCAGGCCTTGAGCGGGTCGATAGGTTGGGCCACGAGCCGGGCCAGGCGAGTCGAGCCCATAGGCCGGGCAAGGCTCGAGTCCGGGCCTAAACGAGCCTAGCCTATCCCAGGCCACGAGCGGGCTTCAGGCCACCCACGGGCTGCGGGCCATTTTTACACTCGTACGAGCCAACAACCATAACTGAGAAGGAGTCCGAGGAAGAAGAAATGGTCAATTACAACACTTGTTCCATAAGTCACTGTTTCGCCTTCACTGTATGAATATTTGAGTTATCAATGGCCCAAGGAGAGGAATATTTTCTTTAAAAATCTCTACCATCTCATGCCAATCTTAGTTTTTGATAATGCAACTTATTTCTGTGGTGGCTTGGTGGTGTAAGCATATTTTCTCATTTAATTTTACCTGCTTGTTCATTTTTATTATTCTTCTTCTACTACTATTTTTTTTTTATTGCTTTAATCATGAGTATTACTTGTATTTATACATCACTGCCCTTCTTTTTCCAAGCCGAAACAACAACGTATGTATTAGTTGGGTTTGTTTGCAAGCCCTTATTTTAGAGGATATATATCATACACAGTATTGGAATTCTAACAACATACATACACTTGTGAGAAACTTCCAGAGTGGAATGACTATTTAGGTTAGGATAGAGGAGGGGAGGTCTTCTAATTTGGTTCTTGCTTAAAATACACTTCCAAACACAAGTGTAAAAATTGAACTCAAAGCACAGGTGCCCATGGGATTCATCATTTAGTAATTGTCCCCGTCCTTTTATAACCTGTATTGGTTGCCAATTTTCCCCTCAATGCACAACCACTAAGGCCTATATCTTGGCTAAATCATGTCACATCATTTCGAGGAACAACAAACGTTCCTAATAATGGGTTGCCAAGCCAAATTAGTAGACCATGAGTCACTAACATTAAGAGTCCAGATGACGCTGTATATGCTATATTTTTTACGTATAATACTCTATTCTTTCTTTGAGGCTGTTTCCAATCTCGTCGAATAATAGTAGCAGGATTTTTAACTTCAAGAGCTTTGCCCAAAAGATGCAAAATTCGTTCACCGTATCTCTTACGAAGAGGCATGGGGCCCTAATTATGCCAGTTGTCTAGACATAGAACATTAGATTTGCCATTTACAATCACATTTTTAATTATAGGTT